AAAAAAAAAAAAAAAAAAAAAAAAAAAAAAAAAAAAAAAAAAAAAAAAAAAAAAAAAAGAAGGAAAGAAAAAGGTACTACACTTACATACACTTTAGGTGGCAGTAGCTGCATAATGGGCTCATGAATAAGTGATTGAATGTGGCGATGAAAAATTCGTGGCCCCGGCCGGGGTATCTTTCTCCTCTCGTATAAGCTGCCTCGCTACACACACGCCATCGGGGAAGCAGGTATATAAATAATCGGACGACGAAGTAGGGCAGAGCTTTTCCCACTTTTTTTTATTTTTCAAAAGATAATAATGCATAGGAGCCCGATGAAAGGGGAAAAAGATTTGACGCTGCATTTTACCCCCGTTCCGAGTATAAGCCCAAAAAAAAAAAAAGGGTGGACGGCCGTTTATACCCTTCTAACTTATTCAGGGGAACTCGATTGGAAGCGAATTTTACGTGTTATACACCGCACCCAGCCAATTTTGTCTACATACAATACGATGATCCATTGATGGTGGGGGGAAAAAACAAAAACTTCAAAGAGGAACGCGTGATAGTGACACGCTTACACGGCGCTGCATACGTAATGAGGCCCCCTCCCCCGGCTGTAGCGCCGAATGGAGCACCCGAAGCTAAATAAGGGCGTTTATTGTATTTAACAATTCAATTGTTCGGTCCTGCGACGTGTGTATAGCCGAGTGATTCATTTTAATAGCCGTCCAAAGTAGGACGGGCTCAATTGATGGCCGGGGTTGGAAAAAAAGGAAAAAAAAAAGAAAGAAATTCGCGTTCCCAAATTCGCATTCCGACACACACCCCCGCGTGGATCCCCCCATCACCGTGTGTGTGTACGTACACACAGCGCGTGCAGCTGGCGAGCAATTTATACGGCGGTTCGGTGTGGCCGGGAAAATTGGGAAATAACGATCCGTCCGGTTGGGCCGTGCATGTGTGGGGCTCGGAGGAGATATACCCGAGACAAACGGCGCGCGATGGGAAACGCATATTTTTGCATATGCTTGTAAACTCGGGCGCGCGTGTATATTATAATGCACGTCGGACCGGCCTCTTTAATTTGTGCAGTCGGTCTGTCCGGCTCGCGCGAGGCTGTCGTGGCGAGTGAGTGCCTGCATGGCGGATGGAAAATCTGATGGTTACCTGCTTGGCGTTGATTATACATGCAAACTCCCGTCTTCGCGGGGATTTTCGCGAGACGCGCCCCTTCATCGTTTTAATCTCGTCTCATTTCCCTCGTGATCTACTTTCCGTTTTTTTTTTTCCCTCGAGCAGTATAATTATTTTAGCGAAAGGTATCGTGGTGGGGTGGGGTCGATCGGTTCGTTTTGCCGGGATTGAAAAGGTGTGTTTTTTTTTTTTTTTTTTTACGCGGACCTGAGCGCGTTGGCCAGCGCTTTTTTTTGTGATTTTTCAATTAAAGGCCATTCCCGAGTTTATTCAAATCGTCACCGGGCGAGTGAGCGGAGAAAGGGGTGCCATATTCCCATTTAAATTCAGTGTTTTTCATTTCGTCGGGGAGGGATCTTCGGGGAGCTCTAAAGTCAAGATAAAAAATGCAGATTGTCTCTCTCGCGACGACTTTTCTTTTTTTCATTTTTTTTTTTTTTTTTTTTATACATATTAAAAAATTCATCCCTCGTTTTTATTTACAATGGGCAAAATGAATTTTTCTTGGCTGTTGGAAAAAAAAATAACTGTGGACGGAGCGATCATTTTTTTTTTTGCAATTGATTTTATTTTCCCGCGATTCCAACGAATGAGCATATATATATATGTAAGCAACGTATGGGCGAAATTTTACGATTCGCCGCGCGTCTGGCTCGGATTTTGCGAATTAAAATAATTTCAATATTCATGTACGCGCGGGCAAATTTCGCGGCCCAGCTCGTCATCGTTAAGCTCGTCGTCGTTGTTGCGATGATTAACGTTATTGAATGGAACCTCGTGGTGGTGTGCAGAGGTCGAAAAAAAAAAGCCTCTCGTTTCCCCACGTAAACAACCTCCTGTCACTTTACCAGTGGGGCACAGCTGCTCTCCGTGCAAGTATAATCCCATTCGCTTTCCGTCGTTTTATGTAATACATCTCGCGATTGAATATCGTCGTCCTGTTTGACCCTTTTCGTCGCGTCTCATAGCTCGGAGGACGACAGAAGGAGGAATTTTCTTTTCTTTTCTTTTCGTCAGAACCACGTTTATTTTCAAGCGATCGCTCCAATTCGTCTTTTTTTTAACAAGCTTCAAAAAAAAAAAAAAAAAAAAAAAAACAGCTGTATGTGTACGAGTTTTCCTGTGTATATGTTATATACCCTGCCACATTGAATTGCTCCTAAAAATGGATTACCCGAAAACCAACTTATTGCGAGCGACTCGGACAATTTCAGCCCGCGTGTGCAAGCTTATTACTCAAAAGCTGCCTGGGTAGCGGCGAATTTTCCGCGAATCCGCTTGTTTAATATCATTTGTCTATTTAGTAGCAAACTGGTACTGTTGCGAGCATACGTACATTATAATAGTAATAAGTATCGAATAACCGCATTGTATGTGCTCGAGACTGTATGATTTTTATTACATCATTGTATTTTGTTGCAGGTGGACGCGGAAATTCGCCAGGATGCGGGACCGGCTCTCCTGGTACATGGTGTTTCTCATCCTGCCGACGATCCTACTGGCCAGATCTCTCGACAAAGGTGAGTGTAAGTCCTCCTTTTAAGCTTAATAATACATAATATACATATATATGTGTGTGTACATTCGGCTTCAGATCCGCTTCGCGTTTCTACTTCTCTGCCGCCTTTGTGCTCGCCAACTCTGTCCGTCCAATATATTATTTATACAATGGTACCTTTACGCGACATTACTGGGCTCCAATGGCCCCTTCCCCGGCTCTCGCGCTGCAAAGCTCCTCTCACCGTGCAGGTACCAAAAGAGTCGTCGGTTCCCCCGCGATTATTATCAGCTCTGCCTTTTGTCGGGCCACCGGAAAATTACTGAAAGAAACATTAACACTGTGCCCCTCTCCCACCCCCCTGTTTTTGGATATTTATTCGTTTGTCACACTTAGTGCAGCCATAGCTAGATTTGGTATCACATACGATAGAGTAAGATGAGCCAGAATAGTACTCGGTCGTTCGAATCTCGGTCTCTGATGTCACTCTGCCTGCGAAAATCTTGGCGAATCAGTGAGACAGTAATGATCTATGTGTAATCGACTCCCCCCTGTACGTTTGAGTATAATAATTTTCTACGGTATAAGTTCCTCTTGAATTTTTTTTTTGGTGTTATTGCAACTCAGTTTGTTTTTTTTATTAAAGATCCATGTTTCACAGGGAGGATAAATTTGCCAAATTACGATAAACTTCGTGGCTCAAGTCGATACTGATGCGCACGGGGATTATATGTTACCTTGATTACCGCATCTGGTAATTAATTCCTTTTAAAATATAATACAGCAGTATATAAATGTCTAAGGGAGAAAGAATAGGCAAGAACTGTATATTTGCACGTGACAAATGTTGTAGCGTATTCTTTTACACGCTGTGTATCAGACAGCTCTGATCGAAACAACAGATCGGATCGCCTTGCAAGCTCGCGTGGCACGTGACACCCGGCCTAACGAGGATGGAAAAAAAAAAAAAATAAAAAAAGATACCAAGAGCTTTCTTTCACGAGGGGGTAAAAATAACAAAGAGAAGAAACCTCGTCTGCAGGTGTACCCTCGCACGCGCGGGCACAAGGATGCGCCTCGTACAGATAAGGGAAGTTGTCGTGCATGGGGGGAGGGGTCGTATAATGTATAGAGAAAGCACATCGACAGCCATACGTCGTGCCTCGTGCTGGCACTCGAAGGCCTCGAGGCCACGCATAAGCGTCGAGCTTGCAAAAAAAAAAAAAAAAAACACCCAACCTCGCGCAGCTGGAGTATATATATATGTATACATATACGTACACCGTGGCAGATTTTAGATAGACGCGTAAAAGCACTTGGCGCGAAAACGCTTTCTGCCTCGCCCGCGAGAGCGGAGAAGAAAGCTGTTGCCCCGCGCGCTCATATATATTATATACGTGACTATGTGTGTGTATACGTGTTTTTCTCTTTGCTTCTCAGCCTCCTCCGTTTCCCCTTGGGTGGAAAATGATGCAGCAGATTCCAGAAGAGCCGGGGAGGGATGAAAGCAGGAGATTTAAATTGCTCGACGAGACACGCGCGCGAGCGAGTGCTCTCTCTATCGGGCGCGTGTCTCCCGCGGTGTTTACGACCTCGTCGCCGACCCTCTTTTCTCCTGATGGTGTCTCTCTTTTCCCCCGTGGAAATTATTAAAATGTCTCGCGAGGCTTTTACACGTTAATACGAGACACGCGTTCCCGCCTCTTGTTTGCCTCTCGCTTTTCGATGCGAGTACATGCGTTCGAAGGCTCTCTTATCCTGGACGCTCGGGAATACTCGGCGGTTATCCATCATCCACTCGGTTATCTCCGACATTTTCGAAACGACACTCCAATGGCTTTGTATTTTGCGCGTCTTCGTACACCCCCATTTACTCGTACTTGTTTAGAAAAATGCGCCCGTGCCTTCGGAACATCTCACAGCGTGTTGGTGATTGCGAAAAAGTTCGGCTCGGTTGCGCCTGTACATAATTTCCAAGAATTGCGATGTACTGCTCAAAGACCCCGTGTTTTTCACTCCAAGCGAATCGAAGGGGTGTACAAACAAACACACCCCAAACCCAGCGTTGCCGAAGAAGAAAAAAGGAGAAACGCACTCCCGGGCTTGGTGTCGGAACCAAGTAAGGCGCACATCCCTCCCGGTAAAGCTGACAAGGATCCCGAGGAGGGATGGGGCAAGGAAAACGCGTATATTTTTGCCGACGGGGAAAAGCTCGGGTGGCAGCGCGGCCTGTCAGCCGGCAACGGGCGCGCGGGCCGCATTATTCTACCCGTGTATATACATATATATATATACATACTTGCACGGCTCCGCGAGTGATTTATGTAAAATGCGCCCTCGTTGTACTCGTGTGGGTGTGCACGTATGCCGGTTCCCCTCTACCGTATACGCACGTGCGACTAATTATACAGCGGCCGGCTCGCTATTATTATCTCCCGTGGCCGCGCTCTCGTTTTCAAGAAATATGCCGAGCTGCATCGACGAGCTTTTGCTATTGATTAGGCGCGCGTTTGCTCTCTTTTTTTTTTTTTTTTTTTTTTCATGGGATATTTTTACACGGTGCAAGCTTGAAAGGGGGGAGGAGGATCGATGCTCTGTGTATACGTATACACATTGTGGTGTCGAATTTTGCTTTTCAGGCGTTTTGCCGACCCGTTCAGCTTTGGGTATCGTTCGCCAAATAGGACGCGAGTTCGGAGCTTTTTTCATACGTTTTTACATACGCCAATTTGTTTTTAGCGAGGAATTTTCTTTTGAAGCGACGAATGGTTTGTCCGCCATCGAATTCATCGCGTTGGTAAAGGCCACGCCCCAGTCGACACTTTGAAAATATCAAAGATCACGTCACCTTGTGAAATCGAATGACACGCCGTGCCTGTATGACTGTATGAATATACGTCTTTTGTAAAAAAAAAAAAAAATAAAAAATAATCAACATCGATCGTATGTATACGAGAAAAAAAAATGCGAAGTGTAAAAAAAAAAAGAAAAAAAAAGAAAATTGGATTCGTGCAAGGGTGTATCGATAAACCCGGAAAATCGATCGCAGCTCGCGTGGAATAGCGAGTTAGTTATTGTTTCCCACTCGGCGAGCGGCTATTCCGCGTTATTTTCCTAAAACCATCGACATTTTCCGGGTCGGATGATTCGACACGACCGTCCAATCGGGAGCATCTCGATTATCCTTTGCGGAGCATCCCGTGACCGCACATACCCAGCGCCATAATCGTCATAATCATCGACTCCGTAGCTGCACACGTATACGCACAAATCTCGTATCGACAGGGGAGCTTCGACAGCACCGAGAGCGTTTAATCATCCGGCGTGTGTGGCAGGGGCTGGTCGTTTATATATAAATTTCCGTGCGTGCATATATATATATATGTGTGCACAGATATTGCCCCACAGCTGGCGTGGTCCACACAGGACTACTGGCTACTGCTCCTCGTACCTCATGCACGGCTGGCACGTAAATCCGTACCACCGACGTCCAGTGTGTACACATATTGCCGGGAAATTACTCCCTCCAACCCTCTCAAGTATATTTATACACACCAACCCCCTTGCCCTACAACCCCGATTCATCGAATTTTCAGTTTATTTTTTTTCTCCACGCATCGACACTCGCTCGGTCGGATTTGGCTTCCCCTCCCTTTGGTCTATTCGTATTTTACAAAACTCTTTATACAAATCTACGCGATGGTGACTCGTTCGAGGCTAATAGTCGAGCTTGCAAACACCTGCACTGCACTCGCAATCATACAGTACACACAGAGGCGCATTGAGGGTGAGTTCATTGAGAGCATGGGGGTATCGTCACGGTCTACACGAATATACCTGCACTCACGACCAGATGAGCATTCCCCAACGCGATCGAGCCCCCCCCCCCCCGCGAGCATCGGAGCGTATACGAGGTCAGCTTGGATTCGATCTTTCGCCCGCGCTCTTCTATACATATATACATATATATGTACCCTCGTCCGTTTCGCTCGCTACCCGCGTTTACTGGTGTGCGTGGGTGTGTACACTGCACTCGCCCGACAGCGAAACGTGTTGTTCTCCTTTTGTAACTTCGCTACAGCTCACCCCCCCGTTTTTGCTCGTGCACGCTGATTTTACGAGCGAGCGCTGAAACAGCTTGATCCCTTTGGATTGAATTGTAATTGAAACTCTTGGATCTCGTTGCACTTGTCCGTACGCGTTTTTTTTTTTTTTTTTTTTTTTTTACTCAACAACTTAAACTGATTTTCTTCTCTTTCATATACTTATTTGGGTCGCGGGTGTATAAGTTTCGCGCGAAAATCAGCTTTCCGAAACAACCCGTACGCGCGTCGTTTTGGCTTTTACTCTCCGAAATATGGCACCGCGGTATGTGTGTACGATACGTTGGAAAATAACAAAATTTATTCATCCAAACGTGTACACATGTGTACTCACTACCCACGGGGGTATTTTTTTTTTTTTTATTTGCTAGCGCTGAATATATATTGTGTAATATCAATTTCCAATCTGAGCTCCGGTCCCGCGCAAACTTTGCCGCAGCGAGCTTTTGCCGATACTTATATACATGCGCGCCTATACATGTATTATATTACCCACATATGCATCAACATCACGCATGGCGCTATTTGTTGGCTTTCGGGAGGATTTCGCGAAATAAAAATATGAGGTTGGAAGCAAGGGAGGGGCAAAGTCTTGGAATGAGAAAATCGGCTCGAAGGAGAGACGAAAGTCGAGGGTAGGTAAACAAGACATCAAATTAATATCGGCACAATGATGTCGATGTTGTGGCACTGCTTATAAATTACGGCCTCGTACATATTTCACGATGCGCCTCTGAGGCACAATGCCATATAAAGCAAAATGAATAAATATACAATACGATCGGAAAACGACTGACCGCACTTACATATACGTATATAATACACGTGGCGTACAAAAATGTGCGTGTACGTCAAATCGTATAAGAAGGGGAGGGGGTGGACGGCTGCGACGGCCCAGTAAATTTTTTACGGCTCTTTC